GCTCCCTCCCCTCCCTGCTTTCCTCCCTCTCCCTGCCCGCCTCCCTCTCCCTGCCCTGGCTGCCTGCCTCGCCCTGCCCTGCCTGCCTCCCTGCCCCGCCTCACCCCGCCCCGCCCCCTCCCACCTCTGCCCCCTCCCTCAGACACCGAGGAGTACCTGCACAAGCTGGCCAGCAAGATTGCCAGCGTGAAGATGTCGGCTGAAATCAGCAAGGCGATGGCGCGGGCGCAGGAGGAGGCGCGCGCAAAGGTGGGCGGCGGCGCGGCGCGGCCGCAGCGGCGGGCAGCGTGCCGCTGCTCGGCGCCGCGCCCTCCCAGCTCCCTGCTCCCCCGGGGGCCTCTTCGCCTTGCCACCCCGTCCCACTCTCCACTCGCGTCCACGCGCGCACAACACACACCTCACATCACGCACGCCTTGCCCCCCGCGCCTACCCCCCACCCCCACCCTCCTCACAGGGCCTGAGCGAGGAGGAGGTGCAGGCGGCGGCGCACGCGGCCGCCGAGGAGGCCGCCGTCACCAGCGACACCAAGCGCACCGCCGCCACGCTGATGGATGCGCAGAGCCGCTACTACGCACTGGCGCACAGGTGTGTGTGTGTGTGTGTGTGTGTGTGTGTGTGTGTGTGTGTGTGTGCGTGTGTGTGCGAATGGGTGGGAGGGCCTAGGGGGCGAGGCCAGGGGCGGGGGTGGATGGCTGGGGCGTGGCGCAGCGTGAGGAAGGCCCGTTTTTGTGTCTGCGGGCAATGGTCATCCTCGTTTCTGCTTGCTGGATCAGCGGCAGGCCCGTGGGCACTGCTCTGCTGCCCGCACACCACCCAGCCCGCCAACCACATGTCAAGCCCACCCACCCGGCTCCCCGCCCCGACCGCCTGCCTTCCCGCCTGCCTCCCCTGGGCTGTGCCCCCCTCCCGGCTGCAGCAACACGGAGGAGGTTGTCGACCAGCCCAAGCTGCTGCGCCCGCCCGGCAACGCGCGGCTGCGCGAGTACCAGATCGTGGGCCTGCAGTGGATGGTCAGCCTGTACAACAACCACCTCAACGGACTGCTGGCAGACGAGATGGGGCTGGGCAAGACCGTGCAGGTGGGCGGGGCTGGCGGGGCTGGCGGGCGCGCGGGCTGCTGCTGCGTGGTGTGGCGTGTACCGCCTGAAGGGAGCCACCTGAAGCGCCTGCCCGCATCCTCATGAACCTGAGCGCGGCCTGCCCTCTCTGCCCGCCAAGCTCTAACCCGCAAACCGTGGGTGCGCCCCCGCCCTCTGGCCCCCAGGTCATGTCCCTGATTGCCTACCTCATGGAGAAGAAGCAGAACTTTGGGCCCCACCTCATCATCGTGCCCAACGCGGGTGAGGCCACAGCAGCGGGGGGGTAGCAGCGGTGTGTGTGTGTGCGAGCATGTGCGTGTGGGTGTGTTTGCTATGCACACAGCCAGGCCCTGCTGCACGTGCACGGCGGCGCTGACCTGCGGCGCTCCCGTCCCCATTACCCCTGCAGTGATCGTGAACTGGAAGAGCGAGCTGACGCAGTGGCTGCCCTCGGTCCGCTGCGTGTATTATGTGGGGAACAAGGTGGGTGGGAGGGGGCGGGAGGGGGTGCCGACTAGGGCCAGCATTGCTGCCATGGCACTGGGCACGGCAGGGCTGGCAAGAGGCACGCCACGTGCCCACGCGCAGCACAGCACAGCACATCGCAGCACAGCACAGCGCAGCGCAGCATGGAACAGCATTCTGCCACACACGAGCGGCCCTCTTGTGCCACCCCTGCGCCGGCCGTCCCTCCACCTCCCCGCCCCCCGTGCATTGCCCCGCAGGACGAGCGCGCGCGCAAGTATGCTCAGGAGGTGCAGAGCCTGCAGTTTAATGTGCTGGTCACCACCTACGAGTTCATCATGCGAGACAGGGCGCGCCTCAGCAAGGTGGGAGCTCTGCCTGCCTGCGGGCGTGGGCGTGGGTGCGACGGTGGCTGGTGGCGTGTGTGACGCACACAGAAAAGAAAAACAAGGCAGCCTGCTGCCGAGAGTGGGGCCCACCGCACATTATACGCCCGACTGGAGTAGCCACCAGCACTGTGGCAAGCAGTGACTGGTCATAGCGCCGCTGCTGCTGAGTCCCCAGCGTGACTGGCTACCCAGGCCACGCATCTTCTCCTCTTTTCAGCGCAGCTGGCGCACAGCTGCTGCCATGCTGTGCCCCAGCTGTGCTTCAAGGAACAGAAGATGCGTGGCCTGTGCTGGCAGTCGCGCTGGGGACCCGCGCTAAGCGGTCCCGGGCCAGCTTGGGCTGGCGGTCCTTCATGCGCTGGAGGAGGCTGCCGGGCTGCTGTACCGCATGCGTGTGCTGTGCTGCCTGTCTGTACCGCAGGTCGAGTGGCAGTACATTGTCATCGACGAGGCGCAGCGCATGAAGGACCGCCAGTCCAAGCTGGCGCGGGACCTGGACAAGTTCAAAGGTGAGCGGGGTGTGGTGTGGTGTGGTGTGGTGGTGGGTGGGCCGGGTGGGTGGCAGGGCTGGGCTGTGGGCCCTGCAGCTGGGCGCTGTCCTGGCAGCCCCGTGGCGTGGAGGGCGAGCGCGCGGCAGTCCTGGGGCTGCCGATGGCGGCTGCGCCGTGGCTGGTGTGTGCGGGAGGCGGGCGGGCGCTCCCCGCTGCCCTCCGCTGCCCCCCGCTGCTCCCCACCCGCGCCCTCCCGCCGCCGCCCCTCCCCGCGCAGCCTCGCGCCGCCTGCTGCTGTCGGGCACGCCGCTGCAGAACGACCTTCAGGAGCTGTGGTCCCTGCTCAACCTGCTGCTGCCAGAGGTGTTTGACGACAAGAAGATGTTTGCAGAGTGGTTTGGGGAGGCCATAGCCTCCACCCAGGTGTGCCTGCGGCGCCTCCCCCCCACCCTCCTGGGTGGGCCCCAACCCTGGCCGCCCGCCTCGTCCCCGGGGCTGCCGTGCTGGGCGCCGCGCTCGGCCCCGCACGACCGCTGCTGCATGACGTGCTGGCCGGGCCGCACATTTGCGGCGGCTGGCGGCGCGTCGCCAGCGGCCTGTGCGGCGGTCACGTCACGTCACTCCCCTCGCGCCGGCCCTGTGTGCCGCCCCGCGGCCCTTGCAGGGTGCTGCGGGGGCGGATGCTGACTGGCTGGAGATGGAGAAGCGGGTGGTGGTCATCCACCGCCTCCATCAGATCCTGGAGCCCTTCATGCTGCGGCGCCAGGTGGAGGACGTGGAGAGCAAGCTGCCCCCCAAGGTGCCCGTGGTGGTCAAGGTGGCGATGAGCCCCTACCAGTCAACCATCTACGGATGGATCAAGGCCTCGGGTGGGTGGGTGGAGGACCCTTGCGGCTGGCATGGGGCGGAGCCTGGGGTGGAGCTGGCGCCGCACAGCGTGCGGCTGGCGGCGGCGCCGGGCTTGAGCGGGACTGGCGGGCTGGGGGGGTCAGCGTGCGGGGCCGCGGGGCGAGTCTCGGCACGGTGCCCGAGCTGCCACCCGGGACGTGCTGGCCGCGCCGCCAGCACATGGCCCTGCCGCTGCGGATGCCCGCCTGCCTGCCTGCCTGCCCGCCTGCCTGCCCGTCCCACGCCCGCCTTGGCACGGCGGCGAGCCTCCATTCTGACTCTGACTCTGGCTCGCTCCCTCCCTCTCCCTGCCCCTCTGCCCCGCCCTGCCGCGCTGCCGCAGGCACGCTGCGCCTGGATCCCACCGCCCCCTTCCTGGGCAAGTTCAGGCGAGAGTACGCCTCGCTCAACAACAAGTGCATGGAGCTGCGCAAGGTGGGTGGGTGTGCGGTGCTGGGGGCTGGGGGCGTGCACGGAGGCTGGTGGTGCCTGGAAAGCATCCGCCGCTGGT